TTTACGAGGACGAAGGGTCATGGGGTGGATACGTTTTAGTGGAGAGGCTTTTGGATCATGATGGTGACCCAAGGTAGATATGGGATTGTTTGTAGTGGGAGTGATTGTTGAGGGGGTGGTGTTGGTGCATTAGGTAAGGATGGGGCAGTTGGATTTTGTTTGGGTCGACGGTGATAAGTGATGAGGACCGGTGGGTTGGAAGCGGGTGGACTGTTATGAGTCGTATGAATGTCTAATGGAGCGGGGTTATGGGAGTCTTGTGTCATTGGGGTATGAGTAGTAGGAGACACCTTTGCTAGTGATGTACCTGAGATAGGAAGATAAGAGATAGGAGGCTAAAGCCAACAGTCAATTTCGGAGGACAGATCTTTAACAGGTGTTGGATTGTTAGAGAAAGGGAAGACATACTCATTGAACACCACATGCCAACTAATGAAGATGTGATTGGTAGTAGGATCAAGACAGCGATAAGCACTTTTTTTATCGCAATACCCAAGGAAAATACAAGGTCTGGACCGTGGTTCCAACGTATGAGTTGTATAAGGACGGAGCCATGGAAAACATTGACATCCGAAAATAGCAAGTTTTGTGTAATTGGGAGGTTTTTGAAAAAGTTTTTCATAGGGAGTACAAAACCCTAGAGATGTTGTTGGTTTCCTATTAATTAAATATACAGCAGTTAAAAAGGCGTACGACCAATATTTTAATGGCATAGAGGAGTGATGAAGTAAAGTGATCCTTGTTTCTACAATATGACGATGTCGGCGTTCAGCGAAGCCGTTATGCTCGATATGGAGGAGTCAGTAAGTGAGTAATACCACAAGAGGCCAGAAATCTCCCTAAGGATATGTATTCCCCCCCCCCCCCCCCCCCCCCCCCATCTGAATAAACCATTTTAATAGATTTTTGAAAAAAGTTTTCTACGATCTTAAATTGTTGAAAAATCGATGTTACCTCAGACTTGCGGGTGATAGTGTAAAACCAAATGTATTTTGTGCAGTGATCAACAAAAATAACATCATAACGAAAACCATCCACAAAATTAATGTGTGAAGGACCCCAAACATCTGTATAAATTAAATCAAGGGGACCCGAACTTGAAAGGGAAGATTTAGCAAAAGGTAACTTGTGACTTTTATTACTTGCGCATGAAGTGCACAAGGAAAAAAATGAAGTGCACAAGGACAAATCCTTACTAACATCTTTAAAGGAAATACCTAATGAGGAAATAATTTTTTGAGTGATAGGAAGGGCAGGATGTCCTAAACGACAATGCCATTTATTTAGAGAAAATTTTGTAGTAACGTTGACACATGGTGATGAGGGAATAGGAACATTAGGCAAGCTGTAGACGTCACCTTTATTCATACCCCATAACAAAATTGTTCCCGCTTTCCGGTCCTTGACAAGAAAAAAGAAGGGTGAAACTCGATTACTACATCATTGTCATGACATAATTTGGCAACTGAAATTAAATTAGTATGAATAGAAGGAACAAAAAGAGTATTAGGTAAAGAGAGAGAATGGAGAGTCATATTCCCAACTTTTGCAATTTCAAGACTTTTACCGTTACCAATAATGAGGGAGTTTGTGCTGGTATAATCAGACGCCAAGGTAAGATTGTTTAAATTATTGGTGAATGATTGGTTGCTCCCGAGTCTAGTAACCATCTGTTTCTCCTGGTCGTGGCAGTATTGGCCTAGGGGGGGGGGGGGGGGGTTATTTTGTTGTTCAAATCTGTGCCAACAGTTGATAGCGAGATGGTTCGGTTTGCCACAAATTTGACATATAACAGCACCCGGACTGGTATTTCCCCCAAAATTAGTACGTCTGCCCCCTGGATTACTATTTCCACGTCGATTTGAATTGTAGAAGTTGCTGGGACGTGGGCCTCGATTATGATTTTTGAAAAAAAAAATATTCTGAGTATTGGGCCTGTTGGGTAGATTCTGAAACTGGGCTAATGGACATGGGGCTAATATAGACACATTCTGGTCTGGACTCATGCGAATCGTCATTGTGACCGAACTGTCTTCTCCCTCTTTTCTTTAGACGCTAGCCGCATTCACAGTAACAACAGCGGCGGAATTCAAGAGCTCTCTCCTTCACAACTTGCCTGCGAATCTGACCAATAAGGAGTGGACTTCTTCAAAGTTAGTTTCATCTGGGTGGATGGAGTTCTTCACAGATTCAAACTCGGGACGAAGACCCTCCAGGGTTTGAATGACAAAGTCTTCATCGTCAACAGGTCGGCCGGCCATGGCCAGTTCATCCGCCAGGGTGCGAAGGTGATGAAGATATTCTGCTACAGGTTGCGACCCCTGTTTAGCATGGCGGAACTGGTCTTTCAGATTTCGAGTTTTGGAAGTTGACCGGGTCCCGTATAGGCGTTCCTGTGTTTTCCAGATGGAGGCGGAGGTCTTTGAAGACCCGACTAGCGGTTTGCAAGCGAAACTGAGAGAGGATACAAGAGCGTGCCGCACACAGATGATCCTGTCTCTTCCATCGCAGAAGGTTGGCAGCTTCACTTTCTGGAGGAGGACCAATTTTTTCATCAATATACTGATCCAGATGAGACCCGAACAGAAGGTCCATTACTTGGTCTCTTCATACAAGGTAATTTGATCCATCTAGTTTTTCTGGGAATTGATAAGGGGTGAGCATAATAAGGCCATCTGGGGTTAGGGGATTACTGGCTGAGAGAAATGATGTTGAGTTATCATTCATGTCTTCTGGACTTTTGTCTCTGTTATCTTCATTAGCCATGGGCAGAGGTGGGCAGAGAAAGATGATGCTGCGAGTATGGTTTGGTGAAGGGAATAGGCTGTTTAGGCCTCTAGAGACTCTGATACCATAATGGAATTTAGAATAAGAAGGAGTTGAGACTACAAAACTTGATTCATTCCATGAGATAAATTTCTATTTATACAATATTCTAGGGTTCAATAAGGTAGGTTACTAATTATAATATTAAATACTAATATTTTGTAACTGACAACTCTAATTAATAATGTAACTGAAGTCTAGACTTTTCTTTGTCTAGACTCTTCTATAAACCACTCACAGTTGGTTACGAGCGTTGACCCTTTAAATTTTCAACCCACTTCATTGTGCACCCCTCTCAAATCAACTCTTAATTTGGAATGTGTACCATTCAATTGCCTTATATACAAGTACCATTAAACTGTCTTATTATTCTAATTTAATTTAAAATGATCTCACCATACTCTCTTGTGTATGGACAAAGTTCCTAATATACATCTTCTCGAAAGCTAAATGAAAATACAACTGAAAATCTATAGGGAGAAAAAAAAATCTAGAGTACAAACATAGAGTGAGTATGTGTAGTTAATTCATTGTATACAACAACAACAACAACAACAACAACATTTATCCTAGTGTCGCAAAGGCTCCTACCTATTGTGGGTAGGGAGAGAACTTACATGCGAAAACCAATTCGCGTTGTCATAGCCGACTTAACTCGCCATCGAAAATCTTTAGAGAAATAAAAACCTAGAGATAGTGTAGAGGGAATAGTAAGGTAAGAGAGAATGGAGGTGGAGATGCGTGGTGTGAGCAAATTTCTAGATTAATTAAGTTTTTATTATTAATTATTTATAAGATTGTAAATTAAAGAGATGGAGATGTAATGTTTTGCAAAGATTGTAAATTAAAGAGGTGGAGATGCAATGTTTTGCAAACAAAATGCACCTGATATTTAGCCTGAAAAGTACTTTGACTCAAGAGGGATTGGATAACAATGACCTCTTTATGAGGATTTTAAGATTTTTTACTCATTTCATTGTACAAGCCTTTAATGATTGGTTACGAGAATTGCCCCTTTTAGTATATTGTTATGCACACAACCCAAACTAATTCTAAGTGATCGGAAATTGGTTTATCTGGTCCATCATCGTTAACCACTCAACGTTGGTTACGAGAGTTGACCCTTTAAATTTCCAACTCACTTCATTGTGTATCTCACTCAAATCAACTCTTAATTTGGATTCGTACTATTAAATTGTCTTATACGATAGTATACAAGTAACATAAAATTATCTTATTAATCGAATTTAATTTAAAATTATCTCACTGTACACTCCGTGTATGGGCAAAAACATATGTTTGTTATTGATAGTTATCAATCATTCAAATTTTAGTCACTTCTTGATAGTTAACTTATCTTTCAGGTCATGGAATGATAAAATTTCAAATAATTATACAATGATCATCACAACTAAAACATAAATCATCATTATCAAGAATAATACTAGTAATAATAATTGAAAGCATTAAGGATATGTTTGGCACAACTAGCTGAAAAGATACTTTTGTGAACTTTTTAATAACTGTTAGCTTTTAGTGACTGAAAAGATCTTAAAGAGAAAAGGTGATAGTTGTTTGTTAAAATGCTAACTGTTTGATTTAGTTCTGTTTGGTATACAAGCTGTTAGGACTAATTAATACTAAAAGTCACAGGCTTTTTTCAGGTGCTACTCCATGTACCTTCTCAAAAAAGATCTTTTAATTTTTGAAAATATCTTAAAAATTGTCATGCCAAACATATAACTAGAAGCTTTTAGAGACTTTTTGAACAGTACAAAAGCTAGAAGATAAAGACTTATATCTACCAAACATAGCCTAAATACTCATTGCAATTAATAAGTCCTTCGGAGCCACCGCCCACAGGCTCCCAACGGTAACTCGGAAAAATTGCTTTGCGTCATTTTGATTGCTTTGTGCCTTTTATCTTTGAGGTGTTTATCATGTATTTCCCAAATCCCCAATCCAAGGTTAGATTGGATCTTTATATATTAGTCTCTTTGTTTTCTATTACTGGCTTCCTTAATGGTTAGGTCACGCTTTACATTTCTTCAATTCTTCTCTTATATATACTTTATATTTCGCTTCCCCCCACTCATTTAGCGTTCATTGTTTGATTTGATTAAGGCCTTTTTTCATTAAACAGTATGCAAAAATCTCCCTCATTACTCTTGTGCTTAGAAATTGGTGCTAAAGGCTAAAATAGGGATTTCACAAAAATGGCAATTGGAATTAATCCTTCTAACTGAGGAATTCAACCTACGATACCAGAACTCATAAGCTGAATACCCTATAGGCCTATAGTGCAGTGACAAACAAAACTTATAGACAATTATTATTGTTTGAAATCTAAGAAGACTATTTATTATTTCAGGATTATCTATAACACATAACTACAAATCATATAATCTATATCCCATCCACTAATACCAACAGTCTCTCATACCTTTTTTCACCTCTCTCGGGCAACAATAAGTTCATCCAAGTGAAACCCATCATCAGTCTCCTGGGGCAAGAAGATGTCACCATCATCTGTTGTGAAATTGTAACGCTCCCCGATTGCTCTCAGGAATTGGTATACTTCAAACATCGACGGCCTCTGCTTAGGAACGTCAGGTAGAACACAGCGAGAAGCAACCTTAAGAACCTGGACAACCTCATCATCGCACCCCTTCCCCAACAAAGACTCGTCGATTGAATCTTGAAGTCTAGATTCGCTGGAGAGAAGGGTAATCCATTCTACCAAGCTGCCCTTGAAGCTCTCAGGGGCTTTGCTCACAAACGCGGCCGCCTCTCCAGTAACCAACTCAAGCAGCACAACTCCGAAACTGTAAACGTCTCCTTTCGGAGTGGCGACCAAAGTTCTAAAGTATTCAGGAGCGACGTAGCCAAAGTCCCCAAACTCGCCGTTTACAAAGGTGCTCAAATGGGTGTCAATCGGGTTCATGAGCCGGGCAAGCCCGAAATCAGATATCTTGGGTTCAAGATCTTCATCCAATAAGATGCATTTGGAACTTATGTTTCTGTGGAGGATCCGCGGGTTGCAATTGTGGTGGAGCCAAGCGAACCCTTTTGCCGCCCCAATCGCAATTTTCAATCTCAAAGTCCAATCCAACGGTTTTTCTCCATCATTGAGATCATGCAACTTGCTGTGCAGAGTTCCGTTGGGCATGTACTTGTAGACCAACAGCCTTTCTTGCTTTGCCATGCAGAATCCGAAAAGAGGGACCAAGTTGCGGTTTTTAACCGATCCGAGTGTTGCCATTTCAGATGCAAATTCTTTTTCAGAGTGCTGAGTGTTTTGTAATCTCTTAACCATGAAAGATGTGCCGTTTGCAAGAACTGCCTTGTAAAGAGTCCCAGTTCTTCCCAACCCAATGATGTTGGTTTTGTTGAAGTTGTCAGTGCCCTGCATGAGATCACTTAATCTCATTTTTGAAACAGACTTCTCGAACATGGAAAGCTGAAAGAAGGGTTTCATTGTTAGAAAAAAAAGGATCAAACTTTAAAAAGAACAAATTAAAAGCCTGTTTAGAATGACTTTATTCTATAAGTGCTTATACAAGAAGTGTTTTTCATTTAATTGCTAAGGGTATGTTTGGAACAACAAGTGGAAAATATATACTTTTGTGAGCTTTTTAGTAATTCTAATGGAGTAGTTTTTAGTGAATAGAAATATCTTATAAGAAAAAGGTTGTAGTTATGTGATAGAAATTGACTGTTCCATTTCTGTTTGTCTAATTAAGGATAACAGCTACAAGCTTTCTCTCAGTTTCTACTCAGTCTTGCTTCTAAAAAAATCTTAAATTTTTAAAAAAGATTTTAAAAATTGTTGTGTCAACCATACAAGATACAACTGAAAGCTTTTAGAGACTTTTTAAATAGTATAAAAGCTAAAAGATAGGGACTTGTGTGTACCAAACATGCACCATGAGTGTTTCTCTTACTTCTCCAAAAATCTCTTTTCTTAAAAGGTTTTCAGATTTAAAAGCGCTTTTTCATTTCCTTGTTGGACGCTTCTTTTTATGTTAAAGTACTTTCCTATAAGAAACACTTATTTTTTGAAAATAAGTCACTCAATACCAAGTGATTTTGTTTTACCATCATCAATTTCAACATCTCTTGTATTGATAAGATAAAATAATATTAAGATGTCCATGTTAATAGTAGCGATTTTGTTCTCCCTATGAATTTAAACAGAGAGATATCATAATAATAGCAAGTGCAAATACTAAGACACTCACACGTCCCACTTTTATTAGCCACATTTGACATTTTTGGTCAAAGATAGTGGAATTTGACCAATGTTTTAAATCTATATGCATTTGTCAAAATTACTCTATAAATTATGAACACATTATTATAATAATGAAAAAGCATGGGAGAAATAAATATCTTACCTCAATGGATTTGGCACCTCTAATACTCCTTGCCCAACTATTACCATCAGGATCTTCCTTTTTCCTATATGTCCTACGGAAATAGAAGTACATCGCAATAGCCAAGGACAAAATTCCAACAGAAACCCCAGCAGCAGCTGCTCTAGCAATCAATCCAGAGTTTGCTTTCTTTGACACAACCTTGCACTGCGGCAAAGATGGGCCCCCACATAGTCCTACATTATTGTTATAGCTTAGTTTGGTCTTGTTTCCAAAGCTTGGGACAGGTCCGGTCAAATGGTTATTTTCCACACTAAATGTGTTTATCCGACCAAGCTGACCGAGTGCAGGAGGTATTTGACCAGAAAACTGGTTGTTGTCAAGCTTAATAGCATTCAGGAAGGAGCATCTTGCAAGGTCTTCAGGTATCTGTCCTGATAATTGGTTGGATGAGAGATCAAGGGTGGTCACAAAATCAAGGATTTTGGAGATGTTTGATGGAATAGACCCACTGATTTGATTCCTTGAAAGATCCAATCCGGTCAAAGCTTTACAATCCTTCAGACCAATTGGAAACGTTCCCTTGAGTTCCATATCACGAAGGTTGACATTGAGAACCTTGTTTTCTTCAGGATGCCAGCAGTTAATCCCTGTAAATCTACAGATGAATCCTTCAGTGTTGTTATTAAAGTCCCAATCGGCCAAGTTGCTTTTTGGGTCTTGCAAAGTAGACTTTACTGATTTTAGACAATCAATATCACTCTGAAGACAATAGCAAAGACTGTTGCTCAATAGAAAATAAACAAAGATTGCTAAAAACATGATGGCACGTCTGTAATTCAGCATTGTGCTCAAATTTGAAAATAACTCTCAAATTGTTGACCAGTCTGGACATTCAATATCTCTACCAACTAGTATGAGAGCCTCCAACATCATAAATCAACCTCAAAATATTCTCGTTTGCAAGAACCGGATAAAACACTGCAACATCCAAATGACTTTCATGTTAGATGACATTTAGAAATTTGCATTGGATAAGAAATAAAAGAAATATAATATTACACTTGTTTTTGAGAATTAATATTACACTTTTGTTCCTACGAATATTAGATTGTTTTCACTTTTAGCTTCACAATTGGTGCACAACTACAAATTCATTCCCACATTTGTTCCTTCTCGTCACTTATTCAGCGAAAATTGGTTGGATAAACGATAGGAAGGATCAAAAGTGGCAAAAGATCCATACTCACACATCAATAGTGAAGAAAGTGAAACTTGTGGGCCAATAAAAATGACATATCAGGGGTGAGACAAAAAGAGGAATACTTTGAAAATATATCAAGACAGCAATCTTGTTTAAGCCGATAATGTTAAAAAATGCATAATTAAAATAAAAATGAAGAAACCATCAACCATCCTATGTGATGGATCAAATCTCAATCAAGAAATTAAAATTTGTGTACAACTGTACATGTCGAGAAATTTGGAAAAGGATGAGATTAATCAAGAGAACTTTACATATATAGAAATAATAATCATCTCTTTTCAACTGGGAAAATCAGATGTTAGATTCAGTTAAACCGTAGTTTAACGGCTCTTAGAGAACATGCAATCAGCTGTAAAACAAATACCCTAAATCTAAATAGCATGGAAACACGAGCAACGACATTTTAATAAGAATATATGATATGAAAAGTAGGGAAACCAGTACATATAAACAATATAGGGACATTTTTATAAATAAATAAATAAACTAACAAAGATACAAACAACAACATTACCCCAGTGACGCAAAGGCTCCCACCTAAACTAAAGAGAGGCTATTTATGGATGACTCATGATGAAATTACGTTGAAAATTGTGTGGACTGCTTCATAATAAAGAAGCGCAAACAGTTTAGTGAGCCATTTTGCTTTGTTCCATCATATTCCCAAGCCAAACAAAAGTTATTCTTTGGCTCCATTGGAAATGATGGAACTAAATACACTAACAGAAATAACATGATAATAATTCATCAAATCAAACAATACACTAAGAATGACTCATCATCATAATTCAACAAGATTACATTATTTACAAGGCATGGTTAAAGTGTTACAGATTATGCAAGCACCAAACTAAACAAGAATTAAGAATTCTAGTCAACAGGCTGCACTATCTATCATCATCATCATTATATAAAAGCAAAATGTTTTGAGAACAGTATTCCCGCCCAAATATCCCCATGGTATAGAGCAGCCAGGGCCGGCTTTGGGGATTTTGGTGCCCCAAGCAAAAAACGAGTTTATATACCCTGTAATACTTTAAATCAATACTAAAATTAAATATGAAGTAAATAAAAATTGAAAAAAAAACATGATTACTACCTAATGCACTCAAAATTGATTGTGAAAGGTAATAATTAACTTACAAATAATATAGTATGAAATATATATCCTTTTTTAGAGGAACAAACCGAAAATGAAAGAGGAGACAATCTTAGTGGGACGGGGGAGTACTACCTGGCAAACACTTTCCGAATGAATACACGTCAACCTTCTACCTGTTCTCATTTTTTTCATTCGAAGCTGCAATATGAAAAATACTCTCTCCGTCCCAATTTGATTTGCAAAATTTCCTATTTTGGTTGTCCCAAAATGATTTTCCACTTTCTATTTTAGGTATGTAAATAAGAATAAAGTGACAAATTTACCTTTACTTTTACTTTTTTTCCATTAACTTAAAAACAAATACTTTTGGGAAGATGGACAAAAGTGTAAAAAGCAAGATCATTTATTGTCACTCCCAAGGTAGTCAAAGTCGAGCGTCTGGAAGCGCACCAGGCGCAGCGCACACAAGCCCCAGAGCTTGAAGATCGAACAAGCACTCCCTCCTGTGTAAGGCGCAGAAGCGATGAAAGGCGATCTCTATTCACGCCTGACAGGGGAATGAATTTATTTTTAGTTTAATGATATACTTTCAGATGTGAGGTCAAATAAGAACATTAAGAAGCCCATATTTTTAATAAAGCCCATCTAATAAGGTCAAAACAACTTAAACCTAAGCTAAATAACACAACGGAAACAAAAATAAGGTCCTTCCTTCAAAAAAAACAACGGAAACCTGCTCTGCTCTACTCAAGTTGTCCCTTGGCGACCTCCTTCTGTCCTCCACATCAACCGCAGAAGCTGGCAGCAGTGCAGCACTCAACGATCAATCACAGTAAGCTTTATTCTCCTTCATTGTTTCATTTATTTCTTTTTTCTTTTTTCAGCATCTACATCTTATATACTCTATACAACTTAAACATATATATGCAAACTACCAACCAGTATAATGGTCTATCAAGTGCAACACTCTTCATTGTGATTTGTGCCATTTTCTTTCTTCTTTATTTTTTCAGCATATCCTTCATGTTATATAGTCTATACTCTATAGAACTCAAACATTTATTTGCATGCTATCAGCCCATTTTCTTTATTATTTCAGCATGTACGTCTTGTTATATACTCTATAGAACTCATACATATGTGTGTGTGTGCTATCACTCTATCATGTATAAGTTTGTTTCTTTTAATTACTTAATATTTTCATTCATGTGCTCTTCATTTAACCTATTCACTGAAATACTCCCTCCGATTCCTAAAGAAGTTCCACATTTTACTTCACACATATTAAGAAAATAAATTTGACTTTACTGTGGAGTGCACTGTTTGGCACTGTTTGAACACTGTTTGGCACTGTTTGACACTGTTTGACACTGTTTTGATGTAGATAATAAGGAAATGTTTGAAAGTGGAACTTAATTTTGAATCTGCCCGAAAAGGAAAGGTGGAACTTGTTTCAGAAACGGAGGGAGTATTGAATAGTTTCATGAAAGTATACTGTATATAATATATATATATATATATATATATATATATATATATATATATATAATAATTGCCTTGTGTATTTACAGGACATGGAAGGTGGAACTTCAGCCACGGGTCCTGAAAATGCTGAATCAGCAAAAAATGACCCAGTTTTTGTGAAACGTGACTATATTTTGGTGAAGAATGACTTTATTTGTGAGAAACATGACTTTTTAAAGTAGTTGGATTAAGATGATGTTATATACATCATGTTGGATTATTGTAGAATAGTATGTGTGATACTTTCTAAGTAATGCGCCTGACATGAGTCAGGCGAGCGCATTTTTGCACCTTGCGCCTTAGGCGCTAGGAATACCCCATCGCCTTGAGTGCACCTCACGACTTTGACTACCTTGGTCACTCCTTAATCCTTGTGCCAGTCAAAGTTTGCAATTCAATTCGGGACGGAGGGAGTATCATCTTATGTGCTCGTGATGTGTAAACAAAAAAAAAAAAGTAATTTTTCTATAATGAATGTTTTTTAGATGTTTCAAGTTAAGGATAAGGAACTACTTTTGATTGAATGTTAAAGAAATGGTTAAACTAACTAAATCCACAGCTAAGCGAAGCTCTGTTTATGTCTATGGTGAGGGTAAATATTACTTTAGTTGTATAGTTAAAATTTGTCTTTAATGTATATCAATTAGCCATGCTTACATACAAATTTTAACTTATATGTGTATTAGACAATTAACCCGATTCATGGTTGATTTTTATTTCACTGAGAAGGCATATATATAGAATTATTTAGAGGTAAAATATTTTGATAGCAACCTTGCAGAAGGCATGTTGAGAGAAATAGAATACAAACTAACATTAGAAAATATAGTTTAAGTGGGCTGAATTTTTAAAAAAAATACAGCAAGAGGTTAGCACTATTTCCACTTAGAGTTAGTTCATGTGTGTGTCCAGTAAGGAGAGTTAAATTAGTTAGATAGGTTTGCTTCTTGTATAGTTCATTTAGTTGAAATGTATTTATAGTGAATAGGATGTAAAGAATAATAGTCTGATTTAGGGTGATAAAAATTTAACAACTAACATCTATTTGTTTGAGTGCGATGAGGATCAAAAAACATTACATTTAGGGGGTTCAATACTGTTTTGATTTAAACGCCGAGCCATACTCCATATTAGTTTGTTACAATTGCTCTTAAGGCCCAGCACACTGCTGGTTACCCAAAATTGTTTCTTAGAGAAATTACAAACGAAAAAATAAAAAAATCTTACTTCGTATAATATACCTATTTTCATACATATTAGGAAAAACAAGAAATATATTTTCTTAAAAAATTAAAACTTAACGAATCGTGGCTCGATATCATCAAGGAAGAATGGAAAATGAAATCAGTACCAGACCTTTGGGTTTTGGGATAAACATGCACTTAACGGATAAATTCATAAGAAAACCTACCGATACGGAGATTTCTCTACTAAACCGATGGCAGATCTGCGGCACTTTGCGTCTTTCTGGTGTGGGATCGGAGGAGGGTGGCGATAGTAGATCGAAGGAATTGATATCACAGGGGAAGTGGCAGGTCGGGCTGCAATGAGAGAGCTAAGAAACCACAGAGAAGCCGCGTCAATGGAAAACTGAGTTGAATCAGTCAAAGAAAGACGGCGACAGTGAGAAAGGAGAGATGGGTAGAGCAGACAAGACTTGTGTGGTGACTGAAAGCTTGACTTTCCGTTCGACTTGATTTCACATGGCGAATTCCAATTTTGTCCCTACACTGTACTAGAAAACATCTCTTTTATACTCTATTTCATTCCAATCTTCCTATTTCATTTAAATTAGGAAAATTAGGTAATATTAATCCCAACTATACCCGGTCCGCTTTTAATAATCCTTAATACTTTTTCCGTTTCTTAAAAGTTGCAACATTAGGATATTTGCACTATTCACAGAACTTACTTTAACCACGATTTTCTATTAATATATAAAATCAAATTATTATGTATAAAATGCCATTAAATTTCTATTGATGTGAATTTTCAAAATATTAACTTTTTATCATTTTTACTAATACGTAATTAGATATAATTAAAGTCAAAGTTGCGCGTTGACAAACGTGAAAGTAAAACTGTTGCAACTATTAAAGAACGGAGGAAGGATAGATTATTTCCCTATAGTCCCAACTTTGGGCCCCATTTTCTTAAAACACTCCGCTACACCGAAGACCGGTAGTATCAGTAAATTAAAGTGTTAAACATCCTAACAACCATGTCATTACTCCATTCTCATACCAAACATATTTGCTCCTCTCCCTACCATCACAGCCGTAGAACATGAACTTGGAGGAAACGCTGGCACCTTTACTGTGTTGCACCGTCGTCGTAGTCGCCGGTAAGTAGGTGAAGAAATCAGAATAACTCCAGGTACCCAGACTGTCTTGCGCACGGTTATCACAATCCAAGGTAAAGACCTGAACTTTTATGCTGATTCATGAAATGTCAGTGTTATTTAGGGTTATATCAGTGTGTTGAATTTTTATGTTGAGTCATGAACTGCATATCATGTTTTTAGGTACGAATTGAGATGGATAGTTCAACTGTCATTACAATTAAGATGTGGCATGGAGGTATCTTTAAGAATAACAATCTGAAAAAGTTGGAGTACGTAGATGGTGAATACAAATGTTTTGAAATTGATGCTGATGAGTTGTGCTGGTTTTGGTTAGAAGAGTTAGCTGGTAAATGTGGAAAATACAACAGTATTGATGACATTTATTACTTGATTCCTGGTCAAAGTCTGCAGAACGGTTTGAGAAGAGTTAAGCTTGATGATGAGGTCAGGGAAATGTACAAAGTAGCTATGAAATATAAGATCATTGACTGCTATATAAGACATGGACTAAGCTTACCAGAATTGGTGCTACAACTTGAAGGTGGTGGGGAAAATGAAGGGGGGGCTACTGAAAAAGGGGTTAATGATGGGGTAAAAGGGTGTTCAAGAAGTTCAGCTGTTGTGAGTGGAACTGAACCAATTACAAGGAAGGCACCACAAACCTCTGGTTCACAAGCACAAACTTCAAATAGTAAAGATGCAGCACAGGATGAAGAAGATCATGATGAGGAAGAACATGATGAAGGTGCAGCCTTTTCAGATTATCTGGGAGAAGAAGATGGTGAGGGGTTAGAGGTTCCACTTTTTGGATCTGATGAGGACACCAGTGATGAGGAATTTAGAGAGTCAAGAAGAAGAGTGAATGGTTGGAATTCTAAGATTGTGAAGATAGCCAAAGAACTTCAAAAAGAAGCAGGTGAGGGAAATGTAGGTGAAAAAAGTACACTTTAAATTATATTTGTGTCACAAAAATTACACAATTTTTGTGTGCATAGAGCTGGTTTGATAACACTAAAATGGATTGAATCGATTGATTTTGCTAGATTTTATGAAATTTTATTTGAACTTACTGTATTAGTCGATTCTGCTTATTTATGAAAAAATTATATTTAAAATATACTCCGTATTTTATTAATAAAATAAAGAAAAAATAATATTCTGTATGAGAAATAGTCAAAATGATCATCTACAGTAACTTCAACTAATACAGTTACAAAAGTAATTTCAAACTTACTTTTTCTTATTATTATTATTACACATTTCAGCACATAAAATCAAAGCTTACATGTTTGGTTAAAAAGTCAGCGATAAGCCCCAAAACATAGTCACCAAACGGGCTCATAATCTTACACATGTTTGTAAACAATTACTCCCTCTGTCCCATTTTAGTTAGCCAAACTTGATTTTTCTGATCAATGTCGTTTAACTTTGACCGATTATATGTTTATATAGAGAAAGTATTAATAATATGAAAATGATATGAAAATGTTCTTTGTTAAAAATACTATCATAAAAGTATAAAATTATTGAATTTTGCATAAATATATTAGTTTAAATAATTGGTCAAAGTTTACCACTTTTGACTGGAATAGTCAAATATGGCTAAGTAAATTGGGACGGAGGTAGTATTTTTTTTTGTGAATAACATATTCACAAAAAAAAATGTGTTTTATCTGTAAACAAACTATTCACCAACAAAAAATAGTTATTTATAGACGTGTGTAAGATGGTGTATGCAAAAAAGTGTGTGTACAAAAAGTTTTTTTCTTTGTGTCATTCCATTTTGTTTTACCCCAGATTAGTACTCCTTAATACTTTTAAGAAATAAATAATACGGAGTATAATAATGTTTTACTCAATAATTTTTTAAAAATGCATGATACTGTGAAAAATCTAACACGATATCAATTTAAGATGTAAAATATGATAACAATTAGAAGTTGTATAAAACATTGATCGTGTTGTTGTTCATTTTTTCATCAGTTTTTTGTAATTGTTGACATCTTTCACATTAAAATCACATTTTGGCATGTTGAGTCAAGTTTTGTTAACTTTGAACGCTAATTATCCAAAATTCGCATCACTTATAACACCAAAATAATTTTAAATAATTTATTTTGATGTATACTATTCAAATGTTAATTTACTACAGTTTTTGTAAGTGTATATTTTTATAAATTCAATATTTTTTTTATAAATTCAATATTTGATCTTGAACATCCATTAAAGTCATACTATCATGGGAACTTCATTGTAAGATAGAGACCGTATATAATATGTTTATTTTTTAGAATTTGTAAAAATATAACAAAGATAGTAACAACAATATTCATAGAAATATGTATAATCATTTTGTTACTAATATTCATATTTTTCATTTAATTTTTAAACAATTATTAAATGATCAATCAAATAGGTAAAATTAGAGGGTAAGTTAGACTTTCAAAATATAAAAAGATTGTAGAAACACTACTCAAGTCGGCTCGGTCTTTTGCTTATCAATTGCGTGTAACAATCAAATCAAACCAAACATTAAGAGGTTGTTTGGTAACACTATTTTCCAGTTTATCAGGTTTATCAGTCAATTTTTTCCACCAAACGTGTAATGTTTGCTTTCGCGCGCTGAATTGTGTAATAAGCAGAAAAAGTAAGGTTGGAGTTACTTTTCTGGCTGTCTTAGCTGAAGTTACTGCAAATGACCATTTTAGCTATTTTACATGTAGTTTTTCTCTATTTTATTTTATTAAAATATTTTTTTCTTAAATCAACAGAATCAGCCAATGCAGCTACTTCAGCCAGAACTTCATAAGTTTCAGCAGAATCAGCCAAATCAGCCGATTTTCGTGCTACCAAACGGGCACTAAGAGTCACTGTTGAAGAATGTTCTGTTGTGAATCAAGCTTGTCAGACATCTTGTAATAGCTTAGCTTTTATTATATCCTATGTATTTATTATTGTATTTATTAGAGTAGTAAAAAGCCGCTTAAGGGTTAGGTTTGCGTTAACTTTTGCATTCGTTCTTTACAGCCGTAGAGCTTATCATTCTTACTGTAGAAGTTCACGGTATATCAAAGACGAGTTTAAGGATCTCTTGCGTATATCTTTCTGCTATTCTTATCTTTGAGTATCGTTATATTGTTGTAATCATATAAACCGGGACAATCAATTGGTATCAGAGCCGAGGCGTGAAACAGGTTGAATCTATCTGCGATTTTTTTGGATCTAATGAAGAACTGCTCTGCTTTTCTTCTCTTTTTCTTCAATATAGAGTTTTGCTCTTGTGATCTTGTTTGTGAACGAAAATCTGTAAAAATTATACTGTTGGAATCACCTTTCAAAACCGATTCTATAGCATATCCTCTTTTTCGATTTCTGCAAATTTTGAACTTTGAAGAACTCTACATGAAATGTAGAGTTTATGCTTTTACATAGCTGTAGAAACGATTTTGTCTTGAAACAGATACAGGAGGAATCTCGACCTTCAGGGCTATTCAGAACAGTTTTCAGATTCTCAATATTCGAAGTTTTCATTTTGAAGGAACTCAACATTTAGGGTCTCGAATTCCTAAACTCGAGGAGTTTTAAAATTGAGAGTTTTAAACTCGAGAATTTTAAAACTCGAGAGTTTGAAACTTGAGAGTTTTAAAACTCAAGAGTTTTGAACTCGAGAGTTTTAAAATTTGAGTTTTCAAATATCGAGTTTTAAAATTGCGAGTTTTGGAATTTCGAGTTTTGGAATTTCGAGTTTTAGGAACTCGATGTTTAGGATTTTGACTTTCGAGGGCTTATGTGATAGTTCTCCCTTTATATTACAGGTCAATTTATATTATCATTATTGTTTTTCACTATGTCAATAGTAATTTTTATTTAATTATATCTGATATATAACATATTTATAAAATTGGATAGTTATTCAAGTTAATTTTTTTAAGTGTACTTAGCATAATAGAAGCACAAAATAATTTTAAAAAAAAAAACATTTTCACCAAGCTAAGTAATATTTCCATAGAACATGCATCCTACTCAATTATCCAAACCAAAGCACTACACTATATAAAATTGGATTGTGCCTATGATTCATTCTAGTTGTCCTCTCCACCTCTTTAAATTTTCTATCACCCGTCCACACATGCATGTACATTATCATTGGTCTTGCATCACATACAACCAATCATATCTTGAGTTTAAAATTTCACCTCATAACTCAAATCATGATTAAGTTGTTCCTCTAATATTGAAGTTGAACAAATACGCATTGCTTTGATTGAAGATCAAAAGTTAAATTGTTTGATTCTATAGTTTTAGACCATCGACGTAC